AATAAACATATTAAAAATATCAAACTTTTTATGCGAGTGGATAATACCATATATATATTGAGAAATGATTAATAAATGAAATATAATAGTTAAAATCATCAATTGAAGTAGAGGATGAAGGTCCCTAAACATCATTAAAAATTAAAATCAAAATACTAGAAATAATATTTTGCGAGGAAGGTAAAGATAAACGCTTACTTTTCCTAATGGACAAGACAATCAAATCCTAGATAATTTTTTAGAGTTTGATAAAGATAGACTTTTAAAAATAATACTCAATATTTTATTATAGGGATGACCTAGTCTAGAGTGCTAAATATTTGGAGAAACCCAAATAGAATAAGCTTAAGGAGTGACTAAAGATCACATCACTCCGGCCTAAAAGTAAAGGTTTTACGTGTACACGATCTTTTACACAAAAACAAGAAAGGTGAAACTCACAAAACACATTATTATCTTTTGCAAGTTCTTTAATAGAAATTAATGGTTGTGTTAGTTGGGGAACATGAAGAACATTATTTAAATTCAATTTTCAACATGGTCCGTGAATATAACTCTTGTTAAGGTGCGGAATTGATAAGTACTTAGCATTGCCAACTCGAAGCTGATTTGGACCCGATATGGCTCAAATGTGCTAAAGCTATCCATGTTCGGTGTGACATGATGAGTTACCCTCATATCCACACATCATGGATTGGTGCATATGACTAGAGATCCTACTATCGAGACATTAGCGAGCGGGGTGATTAGCATGGTGATGCTTTGCGATGGACGATAGGTCGTCGTCCGTTGCCATGAGAAACAAAGCCGATACTTTTGGCAATTGTCATTATTCTACCAAGATCTATAGGAGTTGTTGAATCTATTGGGGAAGTGACTATGGCCTCACCCACGGTAGTTTCTATCCCTACCTCGGGTATTGCCAATGAACCAATCATTGGATAAGCCATTTGACTTGTTGGCAAAATTAGCAATAAGTGGTATAGGCAATAATAGTACACTCAAAGAGATATCAAAAATAATTTCACAATGATGGAACTCACGGCTTAACAAAAAACTATGAAGATCGGTAAAATTTATTGGATCTGCTCTTGTAGAGAGTGTAGTGATGATGTCTTTGAAGTCACTAGAGAGACTTTAAAGAAATATACATTAAATCTATAGGAGAGAAAGGACGGTTTGCTTGCTGATAGCTCATTAGCATGAGCTTTTGCATGATGTAAGAAAACGAACATCGATTCATTCGGTTCATGTCGTTGCTCTCATCTATGAAACCGAATAAGCCTTGGGCTAGGATAAATGGTTTCATCTGGACATACTAAAGTAAAAAATTGGTTTAGGTGAGTTTGAGGGAGATACGAGTGGGGAGAGTTTGTAAGCTAACTCATTGGTTGTGGTGGGTTCACGGTTTGCGATGGATTGACAATTGTGGGAGAGGATGTGTTGCTTCGGGAGGCCATTTTTTGTCGGAAGAAAATAAAAAGATGCATGATCTTGTGGTTTATTTATTTATTTTTGTTAGCGAAGAAACAACAAAGTTTGAAGGAGAGGAAGATACGCGAATTGTATGCTTAACTTCTCTCTGTCTTGTAAAGAAAGAAATGATAGAAATGCCTTAGGGCTTTGATCCCAAATTGAATATGAAGAAAAGAGGTTGAGTTGAATTCACTAATTCAATAGGACTTTAACTCGTCCTTTTATAGTGTTACAAATGTAAGCAATATAGGACTCTATAAGTAGTATTGGTAGGTTAACCGTTCCTACCTAACTAATTGGTTGTGGTAGGTTCATGGTTTGGGATGGATTGACGAGTTATGGGAGAGGATGTGTTGTTTGAGGAGGCCATTTTTTGTCGAAGAAAAGAAAAAGATGCATTATCTTGTAGTTTATTTATTTATTTTTGTCGGCGAAGAAACGATAAAGTTTAGAGGAGAGGAAGATACGTGAACTGTATGTTCAACCTCTCTCTCTCTTTTGTAAAGAAAGAAAAGGTAGAAATGCTTTAGGGCTCGATACCAAATTGAATGTGAAGAAAAGAGGTCGAGTTGAATTCATTAATTCAATAGGACTTTAACTCGTCCTTTTATAGTGTTACAAATGTAAGCTATATAGGACTCTATAAGCGATATTGGTAGGTTAACCGTTCCTACCTAACTTATTGGTTGTGGTAGGTTCACGATTTGGGATGGATTGACGAGTTGTGGGGGAGGATATGTTATTTGAGGAGGCCATTTTTTTTTCGAAGAAAAGAAAAAGATGCATTATCTTATAGTTTATTTATTTATTTTTATGAGCGAAAAAACGACAAAGTTTGAAGGAGAGGAAGATACGTGAACTCGTATGTTTAACCTCTCTCTCTCTCTCTTTTGTAAAGAAAGAAAAGGTAGAAATGCCTTAGGGATCCGATACCAAATTGAATATGAAGAAAAAAGGTTGAGTTGAATTCATTAATTCAATAGGACTTTAACTCGTCCTTTTATAGTGTTACAAATGTAAGCTATACGGGACTCTATAAGCGATATTGGTAGGTTAACCATTCCTACCTAACTCATTGGTTGTGGTAGGTTTACGGTTTGGGATGGATTGACGAGTTGGGGGAGAGGATGTGTTTCTCGAGGAGGCCATTTTTTGTCGGAAGAAAAGAAAAAGATGTATTATCTTGTAGTTTATTTATTTATTTTTGTGAGCGAAGAAACAAAAAAGTTTGAAGGAGAGGAAGATACGTGAACCGTATGTTCAACCTCTCTCTCTCTCTCTCTCTCTCTCTGTAAAGAAAGAAAAGGTAGAAATGCCTTAGGGCTCTAATACCAAATTGAATCGAAGAAAAGAGGTTGATTTGAATTCATTAATTCAATAGGACTTTAACTCGTCCTTTTATAGTGTTACAAATATAAGCTATACAGGACTCATAAGCGATATTGGTAGGTTAATCGTTCCTACCTAACTCATTGGTTGTGGTAGGTTCACGGTTTGGGATGGCTTGACAGTTGTGGGAGAGGATGTGTTGCTTGAAAAGGCCATTTTTTGTCGAAGAAAAGAAAAAGATGCATTATCTTGTAGTTTATTTATTTATTTTTGTGACCGAAGAAATGACAAAGTTTGGAGGAGAGGAAGATACATGAAATGGTAAAAATGCCTTAGGGCTCTAATACCAAATTGAATCGAAGAAAAGAGGTTGAGTTGAATTCACTAATTCAATAAGACTTTAACTCGTCATTTTATAGTGTTACAAATGTAAGTTATACGGGACTCTATAAGCGAGTAAACTTTGATATAATTTACACGATAGAAACCAGAGAAGAGAGTTCTATCAAATAATATTTAACAACAATAAATGGTTATAATTTCTCTGAGTAGATGTCATGCCTTCTATTGAGGTTGTAGAAACTAACTTGGATTTATCTGAAGTAGAATTATCTGAGGAAGCATTATCTAAAATAAAGATTTGTTCTAACACCTTTCACGTATTGGTAGGTTAACCGTTCCTACCTAGTAATATGACTAAAGAACACAAAGCTTACGCCTCTTCTCCAATTTCAAAAGCTTTAAGGGGTTACAACTCTCAGTTTTAAGGCTAATTTATACCCACCGAAAATAATTGCAGTAAAGTCAGTTTTCGGATTAAATAATAATAATAAATAAATTCTGTTTTTTGGTAAACTTGATGAACGGTCTTAGTTTCTATATCCGTGTGGAATATTGGCTTTGCAAGCGACATCTGACTGTTGGAGAGACCATTTTACTTGTTCAACGTTGATATGTTCAATTTTGTTGGACATTTCTCATTCTCTGATGGCGTTCGCAGCTGGGAAACATATTCAAGTACAAGATTGCCAGCTGAGTTGAGACTCACTCACCTATCAATTGATATATATATATATATATACATGGTCAAAACCTAAATCTGGTGACAGATTGCACAATGAATTTCATGTGAATTCTTTGGAAAAAGCATGTTCGATGACTTGGGGCATCTGTTCACAGTTAAAGCACGGGGTCCCTGCATTCTGTGGTTCAGATTTGAGTTAGAGCAAGGAGGCCTGATATCACCATGGAAGAATCTGACATCCACATGGATGGGCGAATTTTAGCCATGGAATATATCCATGGCTGTCTATATCAACAACCTGAGAGTGCACATCAACCATATATTCTGCTGATAAAAGACAAGACACACAACTTCTAATCCATTGAATTAATACCCGAGCATCTGTCATGAAGAGCTCAGGCATAACAACTTACCCTATATTATTGAGCAAACACTACAAAACAAAGCGTGCTAAATATGTTGGAAGTTGTCTTTAATTAAGGGGTGGGGGTGTGTGTGTGTGTGTGTGTGAGAGAGAGAGAGAGAGAGTGGTTGTAGTTACTTTTTGGTACTGGATTGCGGATTAATTATGAGCAGTTTCATATGTTTCCAAGAATCATGATGGGAAAAAAGCAAAAGTGAAGTATTAACATTAAAGGGGTGGAATTGGCCAGCAAAAGCAAAATTACAGGACAAAAAGCCACACTGGTCTTTTACATCTCGCTATTTAAAGTGCTACATCATTTTATCATCATCCATGGGTAAGGCCAAACTTCCCTGAGCTATTGCTTTTTGATTTGGCATTGCTGATGCTTGCAGATTCTGTGAGGGCAATAGCCAAAACCTGATGTGGCTCAATGTAGTCCTCCATGTTCAATAATAATAATAATGCAGTTTGGGTCACTAGAACCCGTTACTGAAAGAAAGTACAAGCAGAAAACATCACAGAACTAGCATAATAAAGGTTGCTTCAGCAACATCATACAATTTGATTTCAGTTAATCACCTGAAAATTGCACATTTTCGTAGATAGTCACGATAACTCAAGAATACAGTTGCTGATCTCCAATTAATTTAACAGGTGCAAAAATTTTAAGTGCTTAGAATTAAGCCCCTATTTCTTTTCCAAAAAAAATCAATGTGTCACTAGATGCTTCAGATTCCGATCATATTTATATGGCCTCTGCAGGACTCAGTAAGGTCGAAACTTCCTAGCAGCTCTCAATTGCTGAATGCGCTTTCTATCCTCCTCAAATTTGCTTCGAAGAGCCATAATTTCTGCAAGGAAGTTTAACTATCAGTAACTTGCTTCACAACAATTGATGAAACAATAATGATGCCTGCTTGATCTGAAAATCAACCTTGATACTTTTTAACACATAGACTCAACTAATCCCTAATAGCAACATGAAGCACCGGCGTGAGCCATTGCTTCTTAGATGAAGAGAAAAATATTCTCTTTTATGTTTCAAACAAGTACATGTGGATCATTAAATGCTTATTATATACTATCAGGAACCTACTCATAGTTTACTTAACTAGTTAGTACAGCATATTGCACAAAAAAATAGTAACTAATTTGCTCTTTGTAAGATTCATCATACCACTCCTCTGAGCTTCTCTTTTCTGAAACCGATAGAATTCTAGCCCAACTTCCTTGGGCTTTTTCTTGGTCATCTGATTCTCCACAGCAGCTGGAGCAACAGAGCCCACAGTAATTCCACTTTCAGAATCTGTGGTCTTTTTCCTTCCTTTGTGATGTTTAACAACTGTCCATCCTCCTTCTGCAGCTTGGGCTTCTCTTTCTTTTCTTTCCTGTACATGCCACATGAAGACAAATGAGAAAAGAAAAGACCACAAAGACGTGATGGAAGCCTAAATCTACCATAACAAAAGAGCACATTGACCACATAATCTGCCAATGGAAAGCATACATATCAATTTCCCATTAAAATGAGCAAACATATGTGTGTGTGACATTAGCTAAATGCTGAAATATGCAGCATTATAACAAAACATCCGCTTTACAGAAATTCTTCCAAATATGTTTGACGAGACAAACAGCTATATCACCCATACAATTGTCAAAATATAACTGTGATAAGCATGCTTTCCTGCAAGAATGTTTACAAACACAAAGCAAGGTATTCATATTTGAGCCAGACAATGCATGCACAGGTCTGTGATCAATCTAAAAAAAAAAAGAAAAAAACAACAGAATTACTCGGAAACAAAAAGGAGACGGATTCCACCACATTAAGAGTCAGTCTCAGAGGTGCATAAGAGACAATACCTGTTCAAGTTTTTCCTCATGGGAAACTATGAACTCATCTAATCTTTGTTGCAGCACCTTCAAACCTGGTCTACTTTGATGGTAATCTGTAAGCCACTCTGTAATGCAAGTTTAAAGTCAGGAAACTAAATAACAAAGCAACATTTACATTGATAAAATCAATATTCAGAATATTGTGCATGGTGAAATCTGTCAGACAATTGAATTAAGCAAATTTTAGCTAATACCTTTCCCCCATTCATGACATGCAAATCCATTATGACATGTTCCAGGAAAGCAATAAAATAGAAATGGATGCTTATATGCTACACAGCCAATACAGAATATAAAGAAGGTACAGGTTCACTACCATGCATTAATTATACTTATGGCTATCTGATGGTGAACAGAACAAAAACAAAGCCTCATGGAGAATATTTGACCATTTACTTTTATTTGATTATTAGAGACTCTAATTAGTTAATAAGTTTTTATGAAATTGAAGTGTCAAAACATAGCACATGATAATTCATACATACTCTTCATTCCTTTTGAGCAGTCCTCATCCCCAGAAGAAATACAATAAGCCTCATCCTGATTGGTCTCTCCCCTCTTTTCCAGTATAATCTCATCCTCCTTTGATGTCTCATGCTCCTTTTTCTTTTTCTTAGATTTCTTGGATTTACCTAAAAGAATGAGAAGAAAACCATGACAACACACAAAGAATGCAATATGATGTTTTCAAGAAAAATTCTGCATAACCAAACAAAGTAATTGTTTATTCACAGGTTCATCTGTCCTAACTTCCAAGAACATCTTCACTTTGCCCTTTGGAAATTTAAAATCTCCTTTCAGCTTAATCAAGTTTTAAGGTAGAAAACAATACTATGACTAACAAAAAGAATAGCATGAAGACGAGACAGATGTTCTTTATTTTATTGCTTAATGTGGATTACAACAATCTCAAGGTCAAGCAAAGAAATATGGAAAAAGGAAAAATGAGAGAAGACAAAAAGTGGCAGCACTTTAGTGTGCATGCTGAAAGAGAGTTTAGACAGAAAGACATTGTGAACAAAATCACACCACTCCCATTTTGCCAAATATGGCATTGAATCAATTGTGAAATTGGGTCAGTGTACCTATGTATGCACTGACACAATCAGTGTAAACAATAAGAATCAACAAAATAACACAATATCTTAGTTATTACATTCCGTTATGAGATACAGTGTTTTGATATGTATTTCACCAAGCTAAAATCCTATTAACATACCTTTTTCTTCATCAAAACCATCTTTAGATTCAGCTCCAAGATGATAATTTTTGCTAACCAGAACATTATTTTGCTCCTCCCTTCTTTTTTCTTTTTCCTCAGTTTGTTCCTTTTCTTTTCCCCTTCTGCCTTAGTTACATCATCTTCTGAAGCAACAAAAACGAATAAATGAGATAAGATTGTTGTAAATCTAGATTAGGCAAACAGTTTTCTAGGTCTACAACTTTTAAAACCTCTAATGATCTGAATAGCATCACCACCATCAATGCTACTTCCCTTCTCCCTTTTCCTCTTCTTCTTCTCAGCAGGCCTGGTCGCTTTATTCCTTTCATCCTCTTTCTTTATCATTACATCTGAAATAAAAAATGGTCAAGCTCTACTACCAGCAATTAATTTCAGTATCTACAATTTCAAATATAGCAGCAATTTTTGGTATATTCTATACATGATTTGCAAGTAGATAACCACGGAAAAAACCAAGAAATCTTCATTAATTGCATCCCACTTGTTTGGACCTAAATCAATGAGTAGAATTTTTACAATATTTATCTCTCTGAAGAGAAATGATTCACTCCCTGTCTGGGAGTGATATGGTGCCCCTGACAGGGCAGCGGGCAACAACCCAAAACAGTCCCTAGAGTGATTATGTGATTAAGTTACATGTCAAATGCTACAAATTGTGAAGTTTAATTCATTTTGTACAACCAGTATTTTAAAAAAGAATCCGCAATGATATTCTTGGCTCTAAAAGGACTCCTTTTATCCCTTAATCATTTGGAAAACCTTCTCGTGCTGCTACTTTTCATTCTTCAAGAAAAATCTGATATTCTATTCAATTGATATAACAAAAATATCAAAAGTTTTAATAATAGCCAAATTGGCTGTTTTACCCATTTAGGACATTAGTTTTCCTTCGTTTTAGGTTAAATCAGTAAATGGAACAAAGATATAACGAATTATCTATTGTTTGATAAACCATGCTGATGAATGAACCTAACACATTACTACAAAAACAAAAAAATCCCATTCATTACCTAGTTATGCTCCTACCACCGGCACAATTTTTACCACAGTAGGAGAATCACCGCATTCACCACAATAAAATAAAATAGAAAAAAGCTTGCTGCAACTAGTTCAAACTTGGGTAATCTCTATCAATTAAAGCTTCACCTTTAACAATAAATTCAATAAGGACAACAAAGCCAAAGAATTGGCAAACTAACGAATCTTACAGGTTTAAAACTACTTGAACTACCCATTTTTATGTTAGTTACTAAGCCAGAATTTCATAGCTCATCATTCAACAGAAGCAAGCCCTTGTGAGAAAAAAATTGCATTACCTAATTCTCTTGCTGGAAACACCACCCTATATTCATTCTCATTAACACTTGATACCTAAAACTCAAAAGAATAAAACTAGCTTTCTCAAAACCGATTGTTCAGAATAAAAACTCTATGATTTTCTATATGCATCAATAAGATGCACCAAACAAATTGAACAGAAACTTCATAAGAGGTTTTCCAAGGAAAGCCCACAAGTTTGAATTGCAAAAACAGGCAAAAACTTGAAAGGTAGAAAGCTTTCGAAAGCAAGAAACTTTGAATCAAGAGATACCCTTTTCACTGAAGTCGCTATTATTAGGCTTCTTGCTCTTCTTCTTCTGCTTCTTGTCTACTTTTTCTTTCAAGTTTCCCATCTCTCTCTCTCTCACAAAGTCTGTACCTTTTTTTTTTTTTTTTTTTTTTTTTGCCCCCTCTTTCAGAATCGCTGCTCTCTAGCAAGAGAAGAGAAGCACACGCGCAAGCCAGGGCGGCACTTTATGATATCCCACTCCTTTGTGGTGGAAAAATAGCCCTCCATATTCACGAACTAGTTAATTTAGTCCCCTAGTTATTATGACCAACAGTCATATATATATATATATATATATAGAATTCAATTGAGTTTCATCTAAATTATTAAAACTAGAATCCCTTAAATCTGTGTGTCTTTGATTTTTGCACATGTCATATTAACATTATTTTTCAGTGCTTTGTAATTACAAAAAAATATAAATAAATTATATGTATGTAATAATTATTGCACAAAATTTTTTATATATCATAACTTGTTATTAAAGTTGAATTATTATAATGTTGTAAAGTTGTGCTAGCGTTATGTTAAGTGCTAATTTATGTGAAAAAAAAATATGCATATTTATTGAGATATATACCCATAATTTTGTTTAATGAAACAGAGCAAAGGTAAATGTCCTAGAAAAAAACATTGCTAAAACTTTGAACATTTAGAACCTAATTGAAACAACTTATATAATTGGTGAATTGAGATATAGTTTTCCCATTTGTGTCTTGGAAAAATCAAATACCACTTCTTATAGTATTATTTACAATCAACCCACAATTTAAATGCACAAGAGAGTTTCTATACGGTGACCCAGAAAATCAAACCTTCACTGATTGCCGAGCAACTGAGAAATCTCCATAAAGATGACAACTTTGGTTCCTATAAGCAATGAAACCCAGTTGCTAATTCAAAGTATATGTGCATCTGTAATAAAGGGTAGCTGGAACAATCTTTTGAGACCTAAATTTGGCTCTAAGAATCACCATCTCATTGCAGCAACAGCAACAATCCGGCAGGTACTTTTGCAACTCTCTTTATATGACCAAAGTCCTTGTCTTTCATGGGCTTTCTTTAAGTGGATTGAATATTCAGTTCCTAACTATAAACATTCGTTACCATCGTCATGGACAATGCTTTATATTTTGACAAAGCATAAACATTTCAAGACTGCTCATACTTTGCTTGAAACGATTGCTTTTAAGGATTTTTTGTCAACTCAATCTGTTTTGAGTTCATTAGTGAAGATTCATGATGACCCAGATGTGAATTCTCATGTTTTGAGTTGGCTTGTGATAGTTTATGGGAATTCTAAGATGAACCAGGAGGCTATTCAGGTTTTTGAGCATATGAGAGTGAATGGGTTTAGGCCACATTTGCATGCTTGTACTGTGTTGTTGAATTCGTTGGCTAAGGATAGGTTAACCGATACGGTGTGGAAAATCTATAAGAAGATGGTTAGACTTGGGGTTGTAGCTAATACTCATGTGTATAATGTGTTGGTTCATGCTTGTTGTAAGTCTGGGGATGTGGAGAAAGCGGATAAGGTTTTGAGTGAAATGGAATTGAAGTGTGTTTTCCCGGATCTTTTCACGTACAATACGTTGATTTCACTGTATTGTAAAAAAGGTATGCATTATGAAGCCTTGTGTGTTCAAGATAGGATGGAAAGGACTGGAATTAGTCCTGACATTATTACTTATAATTCACTTATTTATGGGTTTTGTAGAGAAGGTAGAATGAGAGAGGCTGTGAGCCTTTTTAGGGATATCAAGGATGTTGTTCCTAACCATGTGACTTATACTACTTTGATTGATGGATATTGTAGAGTAAATGACCTCGATGAGGCTTTGAGATTGCGGGATGTGATGGTGGAAAAGGGGCTGTATCCGAATGTTATTACTTACAATTCAATTCTGCGCAAGTTGTGTGAGGGATGCAGGATAAGAGATGCAAATATACTGTTGAATGAGATGAGTGAAAAGAAGATTGAACCAGATAATGTCACTTGTAACACATTGGTTAATGCCTACTGCAAGATAGGTGATATGAGGTCTGCTTTAAAAGTGAAGGACAAGATGGTGGAGGCTGGGTTAAAGCTAGACCAGTTTACTTACAAGGCATTGATCCATGGATTCTGTAAGGAAAAGGAGATTGATAAGGCTAAAGAGCTCTTGTTTGTTATGCTGGATGCCGGATTTTCACCTAGTTATTGCACCTATTCATGGCTTGTAGATAGTTATTGCAAACAACACAAGGAAGAGGCAGTCATCAAACTTCCAGATGATCTTATAAGAAGAGGTTTGTGTGTTGATGTCTCAGTGTACAGGGCACTAATAAGGAGGTTTTGTAAAAGAGAAAAGATTGATTGTGCTCAAAGAGTACTTGGTCTTATGAAAGAGAAGCGTATATTTGGAGATAGTGTCGTATACACAAGTTTGGCGTATGCTTACTGGAAACTGGGAAAAGTAGATGTTACTTCAGATATTTTAGATGAAATGTACAAGAAAAGGCTGATGATCACTCTCAAAATCTATAGATCTATGAATGCTTCTTATGCTGGTGACAGCAGCATCTTAAGTCTCTTCTGGAATCATGTGCTTGAGAGACGCCTGATGTCAAAGAATATATTGAAAGATATGCAGTAGATGAAAAATTGGGGCTCATATTGAAAGATAAGCTTCATGTAGATTCACGCAAGTGGTTCGACTCTGTAGAAGACACTAGCATATTCGTGGCAGCCATATGGTGCTTATGTTTTACTAGACAGTTGTTCTCTCTCAGAACATACCATGATCTTTTCTTAGCTCAGTTTTCTTTACGGATGGAGTTAAACAAGCTGGAATTGGAAACTGTGAACATATGTTTGCTAGTCTCTTTCTTATATGGGAAGCAAGACTCGAGCAAAAATAAGTTATACTCAACAAACAAAGGGCATCAGGTTTGGGAGCTTTGGAAATGGCATAATGATAGATGTTTTATGATTGGTACTGGGTGTGTTTCTGTGCAAGATATTCTGTGCTGTGTACCAGATACTGCGCTTGCAAAGAGTCAATATGTTGTAACTCTCCAGGGACCACGAAGGTCGAAAGGTTGATCACTTTGATTGGGCTGAATAATGGTTGGTATTGGGTTAACACAAACGGTCCAAGCAAGGACAACCTGGGATTAGCAGCAGCTGGTGGTCTAATTAGAGGAGCTGATGGCTGTTGCGTTTGCTTCTAACCTTTCCATTTGTACATTCATGCAAGCTGAATTATGGGCAGAATATTACGGTCTATTTTATGCTTTAGCAACTTGGATTTCGTACAATTGAGCTGGAGATGGATTCTGCAGTTATAGTAGCAGCTATCTCTCTCACCGGGTTCTGAGATTGTCCCAGTTCATCTCATAATGCAGGAGATTCAGCAGCTCCTCACTCGGTCTTGGGAGGTTGGCATTCGTCCCACTTATCGTGAAGGCAATAGGTATGCGGATTGGCTTGCTAGTTATGGTCATGGCCAAGTTATTGGAATTCATTCTTCCCTAGCCCGCCTGAGGGTGTTTCTTGCTTTCTGGCTTATTATTGCTAGTTGACATGGTAGATGTTGCTAGCTCTCCCTAGAATGAGCTCTTTATCTTTGTATTTTGGAAATAAATTTAAGAGAGTGGTTCAAGCACTTATAGAACCACTAGTTTTTATGCATTCAACCTCCATTATTCAATTAATAAGCACTCACTAGATTTAAAAAAAAAAAAATTGATTTGCAAGTAAGATGAGATCTTAAAATCATAAGATTACATCTTATAAACGTAATAAAAGATTTTTATCAAATATTTTCGGTAAAATATTATTTTCAAGAATTGATTGATCATAAGAATAACAATATTTTCTTAAAAAAAATTAATAAATAAATCTTTAGTGCATTACCTTTGTGAATGACATGACAACTGATTATAAACTATATCAAGAAAAGTTTTAAACTTTGCAATTTATCCCAACAGGTCAATATGTTTTTTACAATGATAATTGATTATTCTTAAATTGATGATTTACCAACTAACGAACTAATCATAAACTTAAAATCACACAAAATGCCAAGCTACATTTAGCTGCTAATTACTAGTAATTAGGCTAGATTTCTATAAAATTATTATAAAAAAAAAAAAAAAACTGTAGGGGCATTCTGGTAATTGAGCATCCTACTCCTATTCCTATTTCTATTCGTATCCGTGTCCAAACAAGGAAAAGAATAGTCCGAGGAAATTCAAAATCTTCAGACTCCACTGGTAAACTCTCCTCTTCCTCTCTCTGCTGTGACCCTGCAACTGTAACTCTCTCTCTCTCTCTCTCTCTCTCTCTCTCTCTCTCTCTCTGTTCTCAAAATTCCCAAGAAAGAAAATTAGAAAGAAGAAAAGAAAGAGGAAGAGGATGTACGAGTCCCAGCATTATGTAGATTTGCAACAGAATTCCAGTAATTTTGGAGACCCAAAATCATGGCTTTCCGAAGACAACAACAGCAATTCGTCGCCGACTCACCTCCCAACTCAGTCCCAGCTCGCTTCATCAGCAAGTGGCAATGTCGATCGAGTCCTCTTCAACGATCTTGTCGAAATGGTTCCTCTCGTCCAGTCCCTCATTGTAATGATCACTCTGTCTCTCTCTCTCTGTCCCCATCAAATTCTTGTTAATTTCTTCTTTGTCAAATTTAAAGAGTTTCTATTAATTTGGTAAAACAATTGTTCAGGATCGGAAAGTGAGCAGTTCATTTACACGGCGAGGTTCGGTGATTTACACCAAGACTCCTTCTAGAGAATCTTTATCCAAAAAGGTAACAACTCTCTTTCGATTTTCGTTCTAAGTTTATCAGTTGAAATTATTAGTGTTTTATAATTATGGGTTTTTTATTTTGTTGCTTCTCCTTAATGTTTTTCTTTAAACGATAATTCTTCTGTAGGTGCTATTTATGAAATGAAATGTGAGTTATTTTTATTTATTAGATTTTATTGAATTTGCAAATTAGAAAGAAAGAAGCTTCAGGTTTCCTTGTTTGCTGGGTTTATTGCAGCAATTTAATTTATTAAAATGTCCATAATGCTTGGTAATTTAAATAATTTTTCTAGTAATTTTTACTTGTATTGATACAAGTATGGATGTTCTTTTTTTTTTTGTGAGTTAAAGATGATTGATCCTAGAGGGAGAAATACTTCCCAATCTATTCCAACAAAAAAGAAAAAGGACCATGGAGATAAGGATCAAGGAAATACTGCTAATAATAATCAAGAGGCCGATGCCTTCTCAGTCGTTTCCTCGAGGGCTGTGCCTATGGAGAAGGATGCAGAAGAGTTGGTCGCTTTGAGGGAGCAAGTGAAAGATCTGCAAAGGAAATTGTTGGAGAAAGATGAACTTTTGAAATCAGCAGAAGTTTCAAATAATCAGATGAATGCTGTTTGTGCCAAATTCGATGAAATGAAACTCCAAGTTGCAGAAAAGGAATCATTAATTAAGTCCACCCAACTAAAACTCTCCAATGCAAAGGTGCTTATTTGTATTGCTTGTATTGTTTATTAGCATGCATGATGAGCTTTTTTAATCAATAGTGCTACTTTGGGCTCAATTATGTGCTATAGTGATTCATGATTAAAAATATGCTCTTGCTGGTCTCATATGATGCGTTTACTTTATAATTCCAGTGATCTTAACAAATTTATAATCTGTTAAAGGTTGTTCAGGAGAGTGTCCTTGCAATTTTTTGACATTTTACGTACCTCCAATTTATATGCTAGCTTTGACATCCATTTTGGTTCTAGACAGAACTACATGGAAGACTACCTTTCTGATGAACATCAGAATCTTAAAGTGCCTTCAAATAATGAACATTTGAATTTATTGTTAAGTATAAAAATAACTTATCTTTGAGAAATGTGATTTGTGTTTCATGTGATTCATGGTTAAACAGTATCAAATTCCATTTGATTTATCTTTTGCAATTTAACTGATTTGTATTACCCTAGATGAGATTGGAGTAAATCTACATGCCTATATGAAATTCATTGGAAACTTCTCTCTTTCTCTTCTTTGAGGTTATGTCATTTTGTTAGTAAGAGCATTTGTTTTCCACAGATTAAGCTCGCAGACAAGCAAGCTGCACTCGAAAAATTACAATGGGAGGCCGTGACGTCCAATCAGAAAGTGGAAACACTCCAGCAAGAACTAGTCTCCATACAAGAAGGCATTTCATCATTTATGTTGGTATTTGAAAACTTGAAAACGAATAATTCAACTACTTATGCTGAAGATTATGATATCAAACCTTGTTATTTGGACCAGCTTCCTGATATTGTAAGTTCACAATCTCCTGCTTTATGCATATTTTAATTAGTTTCTCTTTTTGCTTTTCTCCAATTTACTGTAGGGTTATTTTCCCCCTCCATTTAGGACATTTGTCATAAATAAGTACCTGCTGGATAAAACTATCAACAGTTAAAACCTTGGTTGATCTTCATTATACAGACTCTGAATTTGCATTTTGTATTATTTTTTAGTACAATGCTTTGTTGTTAATCTTTAGTTTTCCACATAATGTCTAGTGGGAAAAAATTGCTATGGACTGAATTTGTAGGTCATGGTCTGCTTTACTGTTGTTAAAAAGAGTAGATGAACTTGTGGTGTGTGATGATAAACACGTGTAAGTTGTGAAAGATTTTTTGTTCTGTAATTTGATGATAAACCTGCGCACTTATGAAAAGGCTTTTGTATCTATGCCTTCACCATTTACTTTTGTTATTGATTGGATCATATTGCACTTGGGTCTCCAAATTTGTTTTGTACAGGATGATTTGGATGACATGGAGATGCAAAAAATGGAAGAAGCAAGAGAAGCTTACATTGCTGCTGTTGCTGCTGCAAAAGAAAAGCAAGATGAAGAATCTATTGCTGCTGCAGCCAGTGCTAGATTGCATCTTCAATCATTTGTTTTCAGATCCAGTAATACGAAAGACGGAAAGGTTTTCCTCAATGGTGGGGTTTCACAAGTTTCATACGGCGCATTTGCATAACACATATTTTATTGAAGGGCTTCATGTTTTAATAACTATTGTATGTATTTTTTTCTTTTTGTGTGTTCCTTGTGTTAATCGGTTGGCTTGTTGACCTGTTGATAATTAAATATATTAATGTAATCCATTCAAGCTGCCTTTATCATAGGTAATACTCAAGAGGAAGAGAATTCATTTGATTTGGTAAATTTTGAAACGTATATTGTCCAGAGTTCGTTTTAGCTTGAAATCCTGTTGTGCTCCATTTACACAATAACCGGAGTAGAAAAATTATAAGAAGATAGTTAAACTTTGGGGTTGTAGCTAATATTCATGTATATAGTGTGTTGGTTTATGCTAGTTGTAAATCTGGGGATGTGGAGAAGGGAGAGAAGGTTTTGAGTGAAATGGAATTGAAGTGTGAGTTTCACATACAATACGTTGATTTTGTTGTATTGTAAAAAAGGTGTGCATTATACATGAAGCTTTATCTGTTCAAGTAGGATGGAAAGGGCTGGAATTAGTCTTGATGTTGCTACTCTTATTTATGGGTTTTGTAGAGAAGGTAGAATGTGAGAGGTCGTGAGGTTTTTTTAGGGATATCAAGGATGCTGCTCCTAACCATGTGACTTATACTGCTTTGATTGATGAGTATTGTAGAGTAAATGACCTTGATGAAGCTTTTAGATTACAATTCGATTCTCCGCAAGTTGTGCGAGGGACGAAGGATAAGAGATGCAAATATACTGCTGATTGCTGAATTTGACGAGTGACAGGAAGATTGAACCAGATAATGTCATTTGTAACACATTGATTAATGCGTACTGCAAGGTAAGTGATATGAGGTCTGCTTTAAAAGGGAGGACGAGATGGTGGAGGCCGGTTTAAAGCTAGGCCAGTTTACTTACACGGCATTGATGCTTGGATTCTGCAAGGGAAAGGAAATTGATAAGGCCAAAGAGCTCTTGTTTCGTGTCATAATCTGGGTTATATTTATTTCTTGTTAATTTTTCTAATTTTATTTCTTTTGGTTTTATTTATCATATTTTATTTTATGTTTAATTTTAGGATTTATTATTATAAGAAAAACACAAAAAAAAAGGAGAGAGAGAGAGAGAGAGAGAGAGAGAGAAGGAATATATACATATATAAAGCGCAAAAATACAAAAAAATAATAATTATAAAAATAATACCAAAAGACAAAAAAGAAAAACTTTTGAATGAAATAATTAATAAGGGGAATAATTGAAAGAGATGAGAACTGAAATTGAAAACTATCTGATTTAAAACTGGGAGTCAATTACGGATGAAATTGAATGAGATAGGAGTGCAATTGAACAAAATTGAGATTGAAATTGAAAGCCAATAGGGGTGCAATTGAACTAGAAATTAGGGATATAATTGTTAGAAATTGAAACAGTCGGGGAGCAAATTGAAATTAGAGAGCGAATAACAAAACCAAAATTGAGGGAACGATCTGTCATTCGCTTCAACCCAAAATCAATCTTCTTTAATAGTATTATTCATCATCTTCTACCAAAAAAGACAAGCTCATTCACTGTCAAAATGCCTAGCTAGTATTTCTACTAGTCAGGAATCACGCTTCACACCACCCTACACCACTGCATCGCTGTTGCAACTCACAAACTTGCACACACTGCTTTTTTTCAATTTCGTTCTATGTGCAAGAAGTCAAGAACACCTAAAGCATGTCCGTTGGCTTTAGCAAACAAGGATTTTAATAATTTAAGAAGGATTCAAGGGTGGAAATCCAGTGCAATGGGCCAATAAATTGAGCTCCATTGCATGGTTTTAGAGGGGGATTGAAAAAAAAAAAAAAAATAGATTCTGGGTTCTTGATTTTCTAGATTTCAAGAATAAGAACAATCTGGTCTTTTAATAGGTATTATCCTATCAGGGTTCATAGGACCCATTTAGTCCACAACCTTTCCAGGCATTACACCACACAATCTCTGGGTTACACAACTGATAACAAATCCAGTTTTTAGTCATCATCATCATCAAGCACTGCAGCAGAGGAATCATCACAACACAAACACCTGGGTATGTTAGTTCATTTCAGTTCTTAAGTATTATTCAGGTAACCTAAATCTCATCATTTGTTCGTTGCATTCAATTATTTCATGTTTCATTTTCAAAATATGCAAAGAAAAAAAGGGCAATGACAATGTCACTACCATTGACGAGCCCTGTTGCTCAACTTCCTCAACTCGTCCAAGATAGGGCAATGAGGATGGAATTCTAGCTTGACAGCTAACATGGGTGATATTGACTCCTACTGTGGGAATTTCCTTTGAGTAAGAAAGGAGATTTGGGAGTTGAGAGTAAAGGACGCTTGGTCCAGGGAGATGAAAATGGAAAGGAAAGAAAAATTTTTCGTTAAAGTAATAATATATTTATCCTTTCGGAGCTTTTAAAATTTATTTAGTCAAATAATAATATATTTGTTTTTCTATAGTTTTTATAATTTATCTTTTCATGTAATAATAAATTTGCTCTTCTAGAGCTTTCTATTATAATGATCCTATCAGATATAATATTAATACAAATAAATAATTAAATAAACATAAAACAAATAAATATATTATTCTACATATATATATGTATGTATGTGTAGTAAAATAAATTTGTAACTATCACTATACGATAGAAATTCTATATATATGTGTGTGTGTGTAGCAAAATAAATTTGTAATTATCCCTATACAATAGAAATTATAAAAAAATAGATAAAACATGTTATTTATAAATAGAAAAGCCAACAATTTATTAATTTCAATTATAATTATTTTGATATATAAAATTGGCTTATATATTTTATTTTTTTACTTTTTCAATGATGCTTGATAAAACTCAACGAGGTGTTTCGACGTACGGCGAGTATGCGATTAATGTCCGTTTATGCGATATCAATAACATTCAATTTCAAAATGATGGCTTATGGAGTATTTAGAAATGAAATAATTCTAATTTAAATTAAATATGAATTTCCAAAAGGAATTTGAGAAAAAAACAAGACATGGTTCAATTTAGTTTAATGTAAGGTATCATATTTAAATGATTAAATTGTATTTCAAGAATATCGATTTTTGATCAAACGATAGCGTTTAATATTTCTATACATGATGTATGAATATTAATTTATATTAGTTGAATTTTTTAAAAAAATTAGACCTAAGTTTTTTTACTTGTGGATCTATTATTTCTTCATAATTAGGGACCTCATACGAAAATGCCCGAACTGCTAATAATTTGAAAATGTTAAGGAAAAAGGTTTATTAGCTTGCATTTATTACACTCCAAATGTAAGTCAATGCTGATAATACTCTCGACCTATCTAGGTCCTAGATCGAGAATGTTATTCATTTTTAGTTTTTTTTTCATAGTTTGTCCACTTCTAATGGTAAAATGTATTATTATGACCACTATAATTTGTCTACATGGTGATAAAGTGTATTATTATAACTACTATAGTTTGTCCACTTCTTATGATAAGATGTATTATTATGAACAATAACGATTATACGATAATTATTCCAATCATAATAATAGTTATGACCAAGATCGTATTTATGATCGAATTATCATAAGTTGTTATGTTTACTTCGGAAAAATGAAATAAAACCGAGTTGAGCGAGAATTTATGATTTTTCATCAATTGCTCATTATTTTGTTCGAAATATGAAATCAATTCAAAATATTTTTAAAACTCTTTTCTTGATATTGTTGTTGTAGGAGCATATTCGAGACATGAAAAGTTGAGAATATTTTCCGAGAATCAAACACACATAATCAATAATTCTTGTTCAAAATGTCAAAAACCATAAAATCAAGTTTATGAGGTTTGATATAATAAAAACTCTATAACGCAATATATAATAATAATGTTAGAAAATAAGAACAATCATAATAATAAAATTAAAGTTTTTAAAACAACATATATTAGATCATTAAATTCTATATATTAAATCATTCAACTTTTTCAAATGTATACTCTATATATCATTAGATTTAAAGTGAATGATAAATTAGATACTTATCTCTTAATAATCTAGATAATTTAGATTTTTTTGGTAAAGCACTCCTACGGAAAAATAAATCAATAATTGAAATAAATGATTGAGTTTTTTGGTAGATACATATCTCATGATATATTATCTCGATTGGTTAAAATTTCATGTTGATAATGTGTCATAAAAGAAATGATAACAATGATAGAATTGAAGAGAAAAATGATGAAAAAATGATTTCACTACAAAATAAAGTAAATACAAGTGATAATAATTCTAAATAATTAATATCTCAATCTCTACGAAACATATCACATCAATTAATGAACAATCAATCATATTTATAAATTTTAAAATTGTGAAGAGAATGGGAAAGGGATATAAAAAATTCGTGAAAGGTTGCACCAACCTTTCAATTATTGTGTTATCAAGCCCGATAATAGTGAATTGAATTTTATTAAACAATATGATTAATAGTGTGAATAATAATGGTCATGGACATTCTTTATTTTATAACAAATTTTGACTCTTAATTTTTTTTTTTTCAAAACTTTTAATGCCTAGCTATTACTTCTTCTTCTTCTTCTTCTTTTATGACAATGGGTCTCTAAGTGTGTGACTCTTTTGTTACTTTCTTTTATTTTTATTTTTTTCTTCTAATTTTTAGTAGGACCGTGGATATTTGATTTTAGAGCGGATCTTGTGGGTAAATTATACATCTTTTTTCTATATTTAAAAAAAAAACTTATTTGATTCAAATTTGAGTTTTCTTTTCCATTCTTTTTGGGTCACTTTTTAAATTTTCAAGTGTACGTTTTTTATGTATTGAAAATTAGATTTTTGATATATGACACATGATGTGATAAAATTTAATAGAAGAATAAAACCTTAATCGAATCTAAATTCATAAAAAAGAAAAATATATATATTAGAAGAGAAAAATCTATAGATTAAACGTGGCATGTCCCATGGATCGATGTCTTGATCTTTCTATTGTATTTCTTCAATCTGTTGTGCATAACGTTGGCACTTCAAGAATAAAATCAATTGTTTGATCTTGATCCTCATAAAAATAAATTTATTTTCCAAGTTTGCAAATGATGTAAAAAAGTAAGATGTAAGACAAAGTGTAGATAAGTTTATTTATGTAATACAAACGACCAAAAAGAGCTACCATATATTGATATTTTTATAATACAAACGACCAAAAAGAGCTACCATATATTGATATTTTTATAATTTATTATTCAAGAAAGTTCATATTTGAATATAATCTCTATTTTATCCTCCTCTTATATTGTAAAAATACTACTCTAGTCGTTTTCTTTTAAATATGCTAAAAAAAAAATCCTTTTATGATACTTTTAAATTTATAATTATGTTTATTTATAAAATAGTTTATAATTATGATACAATTTCTTATATCATGCTTTTATTCCATAATTTTAAGTAAATTTGAATGAAATTATTATCATAAAATTAAAAAATAATAATTATTCTTGGTATTTATAATATCTCATTTTGAATTATAAGCGTAAAGATCATTATTATAATTAAGTATTTGATTTTATTTTTTTCCAACACAACCATAGCAAAAGCTAAATTTAAGATGATGTTACTCCCACTTCAAGAATTGTTAATTAATCTCACTCCACATTTATTACAAAATTTATTAAAAGATTACATTATCCTTTATCTTTAATATAATGGTAGAGTATCTTATTTTGACAAAATTGAATTTTAATGAAATATTATCTTAATCATTAAAGTTGAAAATTAATTCAAATAAAAAAAGAAATATATAAAAATGGAATTTTTCAAAATTTTAACTACTCTATTATATTTGGAAACAAAAAATAAATTCTCTAACAAGGAAAAAAAAAAAGTAGTATGACCGAAAGGAAAAAAAAGAAGAAATTAAATTTGGCGGTAGGTAATAATAAAATTTAGAAAAAAGAAAGATAAAATTTGAATATACTAATTAAAAAATGGTAGACTTTCTAATTTTAGCTATATTTTCTATATATAAATGAAATATCAAAATTGAATATTATTATTTGTGAAAAATCTAATCAAGGTTATTTGGTTCTATCTAAGTGATAAAAGTAAATTATAGAATGTGATTAACAAACTATAGAGTAGAAATATCACAATCCATATAATATAAAAATATTTAGTATTGTTAACAATATAAATATATATCACCTAAAAAAAGCTAGAAAGTATCTTTTCTATGAGTGAAAAAGAAATTGCATGTTAAATATACTGTAATTGTTTCTAGAAAAGAAAAGTTTTTTAAATAGATTGTAAAGTATTGTAGGAATTATAATAAAATATAAATATATTTGGAAGAAAAAAAAATCAAAACTCAACTTTGGTCTCAAAAAAGTATTACATAATTTATTCGGTCATTTTGTCTTTTCAAAGTAAACTTATATGCAATTTTTTTTTTTTTTTTTTTTTGGAAAAAATACCGTTCTAATTAAGTGAAAGGAAAACCTGATCATCACATTTCTGCTTGTCTAAAAGGAAACAGCTGACAATAAAAATACATACTGGCTTTTCATTATACTTTTTTTATGACCAAAAATATATATTTATATTGGCTTATGCTGCATTATTAATTTAATGCCCATATATAAGGTGATTACAACCTACTATTTCCAAAAAAAAATCTTAAGAGTATATTGAAAGACAAGGACTAATCTCGAAACGAGTCCTCAATTATCCACCATTTATCAACTAGATTCACAAACTACAAATTTTCTGAATTGAATCTCCAAATTCTATATCTCTTAATTGAGTCCCTTTGTCCATATTCATTAATGTTTCCGTCTAAATTGCACAATATTATTCAATAAATCACTCTTTCTTTCAAGAAAAAATACAACAATTTTAGTTCGAAAATTAGGAAGATTTGACCCCCAGTGTCCAAATAAAAGATTCATGATACTTTGGAACCAAATTGGAAATTACATTTTACAGAATAGATTGAGAATCAGTTGGTAGTTTGAATTTAGTCCAATATTTAATCTATTCAATCTCTTAAAACCCAAACGTGGAATTCAAAAAAAATAGAAGCAGTCAAAAGATTCAAAACCTAGCACATATCTTATCGTTCAAAAGAAAAACGGACCTCCTAGTCAAAGGGCCCCAAAATCTGAACCTCAATAACAGCTTGACACATGTTAGTCCAAGCTCTTGGCAGCGTCATCCACGTGGCATTATACGTGTCAAGCAATGGTCTGGTTTCAATCACTATAAATAATGGCAACTGCGGCATTACATTATCACCCAAACATCTCTTTTCTTCTCTGATTAAAAAGCATTAAAGCTTGCTTTCAAGTAAGTTGTGTTCACTCAATCTTTCAAAGAAATCAATAACCAAAGATGGCTGACAACTCTCAGAAGATGAGCTACCATGCTGGTGAGGCCAAGGGCCAAGCTCAGGTCAGCTTCTGATTTTCTTTATTTCGCTTTTATTCATATACAAATTAAGGTTTGTGTATAATATTCTCAAATTAGTGATTATGGGTTTTGCTTGTTTCAGGAGAAAGCCAGTAACTTGATGGACAGAGCCAGCAATGCAGCTCAATCTGCAAAGGAATCAGTGCAAGAGGTTCATATATTTTTTTGTCCAATCCCATGCTCTATATTTTTTTCACATAATCCATTCTCACCACTTAATGGCTCTGTGCATAAGAATATAAAATAATCCAAAAGCCAGAAAAAAAAAGTTTGCAATATGGGTTTTTGATTTTAATTTTGACACTTTGTGTTTTGCGTACGTAGGCTGGCGAGCAGGTGAGGGCTAAGGCACAGGGAGCTGTTGAAGGGGTAAAGAATGCAACTGGCATGAACAAATGAAGCTGACTGGAGCCCAATAATTGTCCATTGCATGCAATTTAGAAATTAAATGCAATATTGTCATTAGTTGTTTTTGTTTTTTGATTTTTGTTTGAGTCTTTCTCTTTGTATAAAGAAGAGAGCTCTCTCTGTAGTTCTCTCATAAGTTTGCATTTTTCAGGCACATGTTGCCCTAATTAATGAATTTTTTACTTCAGTTTAGTACATGTTCAAAGCTTTTTCTGCTTCGGTTTATGAAATCGCAACAGTGCTTGATCTATTTGATTAGAACAAATGTTTTGGCTCCCCAAATTACAATCCACAGGTCCTCCTTGTGCGTAATAGCTAGTAATCATAAGAGGTGGTTTGGTTTGGTGCAATCCAGAATGTGCACGATTGAGGGAATCAGGGGAGGGAACACTTTCCTCCTCTAACGAATTGCATAGCAAATTTTCACACAGAAAATAATCTTTCATTAATTGAATTCCATTGATAAACAAATTTTGAACGTCACGTCACGTCAAAGAGTTGAATTAATATTGAATATGAATTGGTTTTCTACAAGTCCCATTTTAACACCACCATGCATCTTGTATTTTTGTCAAAAGAAGAAAACAAAAGAAAAAAATGAATGCTTCACGCTTGATCTAATCTTTTTGAGTTGGATCATTTTACTTGTAATTAGTGTATTTTTGTTTGAACAATTGATTAAGGGATCAAACAGAGTCATTCTTAGGAATGGTGACGAGGCAGGTGCCTGCAAAAGACACTTGTCCCAAACCCATTGTCCTAGCTGGACTAGAATACCAAACCTGGAGAAATTTTCCCAACCGGCTTCAGTAACTTCATTAAATCCAAAAACTTGAAAGCTGAATCAGAATTTTCGTTGGATATCTTTTTATTTTCAACACTGTTCTCTTTGCTTCTCAAAATATTTAGGAAAAAGGGCCCTACTTGCTGATGATGGAACACATAGTCAATTAAAAGTCCTTGCGTTGGACTTAGCTGGAAGGACAGGTGTTCGGCAAGTCTCCTGCTTGCGAACTTATTTAGTTGGGCGGGTTTGAAAATCTCATTCCTCATGTTTCCCATTGTCCCCGTACTTCATTCTTTCAACACTTTCTTAAAAGTCAGGCAGTAATTTTAGAATTTTATTATTAATTTATATAATTTTAACCTCAAAATATCAATTTTTAGATAAATATTATTTAAAATTTTTTTCATTATTTATAATTGTCAATCTAGTTAATATATATATATATATATTCACGTATTAATCTCTTTAACTTTTTATAGTCAATAAAATTGTTATTTATGTGTGTGTGTATATATACACACACACAAATAATAATTTGATTGATTATGAAAAATCACAGAGATTAGTATGTGAAAATGTTAAATATAAAGCATTAGGTTATAATTACATAAAAAAAATAAGAACAATTTTTTTAAAAATTTTTTTAAAAAATTAATAGCTATATGCTTAAACAACATCATTTAAGCATTTTGCTTAATCATCAACTAAATTAACCATTACAAATAAAAAAAAAAATTTAGATAATATCTATCTAAAAGCTGATATTTTAGGATTTAAATTATGTAAACTAAGAATAAAGACTTGAGATTGCTAAATTACGATAAAACGACAATAACTTTTGCCATTAAACCTAGGAGTTAAGAGCTCGATTACTGAATTTATGTATAGTTAGGGACTAATATGTATTTTGCTTCAACGACACCCTCACCCAACAAATTGATACATGGAAAAACCTAAAACCCTTATATCTATTTGAAAAAAAAAAAAGGAAATTTAGATAATATCTATATAAAGCTGATATTTTAGGGTTTAAATTATGTAAATTAAGAATAAAGACTTGAGATTGCTAAATTACAATAAAATGACGAGTAATTTTTGCCATTAAACCTAGGAGTTAAGGGCTCGATTACGAATTTATGTATAGTTAGGGACTAATATGTATTTTGCTTCAACAACACCCTCGACCAACAAAGCGATACGTGGCGGAACTTGAAACCCTTATATCTACTTTGAAAAAAAGGGAATTTAGATAATATTTATCTAAAAACCGATATTTTAGGGTTTAAATTATGTAAATTAAGAATAAAGACTTGAGATTGCTAAATTACAATAAAACAATAGTAATTTTTGCCATTAAACCCAAGAGTTAAGGGCTTAGTTACGAATTTATGTATAGTTAGGGACTAATATGTATTTTGCTTTAACAACACCCTCACCTACCAAAGCGAAACGTGGCGGAACCCGAAACCCTTATATCTACTTTAATTTCATCATAGTTTCAATTGGTTCCTTAAAATAATCACTTTTCTCAATCATATCCTTTTAAGAATTTCTCACTGTCATCGACACTATTTTGAAGGAGTTTGCTATTTTAAATTCTATTAGTATAAGTGCCCAAGATCTAACCATGTTTGGATGGGATTGATTTATTATATTATTGTATTATTTATAATAAAAAAATTTCTTGTCATTTACATTTATTGATTGAATAAAATTAGATAGAAGTCCATATGATATGCATTTGTATTAATGATTGATCAAAAGATGTGAGATAAACACTAATGCATATAAATGATATCATTAAATGTCCCAAGTCATAACATTATCAAGAATGGACATTGACGATATGTAGTTAGACTTGTGAGTGTTATACTCATGCTATACAATAGCGATAGAAGATCTCACACCTATTGGCATGATGATGCCAAAGCAAGCACTTAGGTGATTCATGTTATAGAACATATCATTGGACTTGACTCACTATGAGAACCCATTTGGTTTAGTCTATGATAATCTCATACGAGATGGGTACAACTGATCTTTTGACTTGAAGTCATCATATTTATCTTAGTAGAGGATTTATGTAATTTGACACTCGTTTTGATAGATCCGGTAAAGGGTTGTATGTTGGTGATTCGTTGGGTGCATTAGGAGTTTAATGGACCGGTGGATGACTAAGATAGGACATGTCATTCCTTATATGCTAAAGGAGTTATCACATTGCACTTCGATGAATGTTTGCTTAAGAAATTTATGGCCATAATAAGAGTACATCAATAGAACATAGCTGGTTTAATCTAGGAGCTAAGATATTTGAAAATCATAGAAAACTTGTGCGATCATAATCGAACAAGACTTATAATCAAGTTCAAGATCACATTGTGATAAGTTGACATGAGGACTCGAATTGTATGTTAACCGTGCTCGTGAAAGGTAATAACAGATTAATTAATCGTCCTACATAATTGGATAGTCATGATGCCTTACTAAAGGTCAATCTTGACTTATGTATCAAGAGATAGAAGAGGAATATTTTCTTCTTAATGTTAGTGTTGGTGCCCAAGATCCAACCATGTTTGGATGCACTCGGTTAATGTATTATTGCATCATTTATTTTAATAATAATAAAGAGTTCATTTTATTAATTCTTATGTTTACATGTTGATAAATTCATAGAATTAGATAGAAGTCCTTATGATGTGCATTTACAATAGTGATTGATTGAAATATGTGAGACAAACACTAATACATATAAATAATTTCATTGAATGTCTCGAGTTATAACATTTTCAAGAATGGACATTGACAATAAGTGGTTAGACTTGTGAGTGTCATGCTCATGCTATATGATAGCAATAGGAGATCTCACATCTATTGGCATGATGATGTCAAAGTAAGCACTTAGATGATTTATGTTAGAGAACATATCACTTGGACTTGAATCGTCATAAGAACCCATTTGATTTTAGTCTATGAGAATCTCATATGAGATGGGTACAAATGATCCTTAGACTTGAAGTCATCACGGTTATCTCATTGGAGGACTTATGCATTTTGACACTCATTTTGATGGACCCATTAATATGTTGCGCGTGGGCAATTCGTTGGGTGCACTAGGAATCCAATGGAGGTGGGTGTATGACTAAAATAAGACATGTCATTCCTTGTATAGTAAATGAGTTATCATATTGCATTTCGATAAATATCTCGCTCAAAAAATCAGTAGCTATAGTAAGAGTATACCGAGTGGAGCATAGTTGGTTTACTCTAAGAGCTAAGACATTTAGGAATTGAAGAAAACTTATGTGATCATAATCAAACAAGACTAATAACCAAGTTTGAGATCACACTTGTGATAAATTGACATGAGGACTGAATTGTATAGTAACCATACTCGTGAAAAGGTCATAATGGATTAACTAATTCTCCTAAAGAATTGGGTAGTCATGATGTCTTGCTAGAGGCCAATTTTAATTTATGTATCAAGAGATAAAAAAAAGGAGTCTTTTATTCTTGATACATTGCCAACATATTTAGGAGCTTATTGAGTCACACGTATGAGTTTAAGTATTCACATTAGAAATGAGAAGCAAAGATATTGAAAAAAGTTTTCAATTTTAGAAAGTTTCCTAAAATAAAATTTTCCTTAATTATGGAAGTTTCCTAAAATGAAAAGTTTTCTAATTTAGAAATCGGTTTTCTAATTTGAAAATTTGTTTTTAAATTTAGAAATAAAGAATCTAAAAAGGGAACGAGTTTTCTAATTTAGTTTAAAGGGTATTTTAGAAAATTATTTTCTAATGTGGACCCGTCAAAATAATCTAAGAATATTTATTTGGATAGTCCAAATAAATTAATTGGGCTAAAATAGTTTTAGCTCATTAGATTTAATTAAAAGCCTTGAGATAATTTTGATGGGAGGATAAATATCAATATTATTGGACAAGGTTGAATGTTTTAAAGATAATAATCAAATAGTCTACATATAAAACAACTCATCATCCTTAAGGGATAAGAAAGTAACAACCTAGAGTCCTAAAAAGACTTGTACTCGCCCTTCTCCTTGGCCTTAGAGGACAAGGAAACTCTCCCCTATAAATAAGAGGAGAGGTGCGGCATGAAGAGACCGATGACCTAAAAAGAGTATTTTCGGCCAAGCAAAATTAAGAGAGTAATATTCTACCAAGAAAAATAATAGGGGAGCAAAGTTTCGACTAGCTCCAAAAATTAGCTACGGCACACGACCAAGAGAGAAAATAAAGGAGAAAATAGTTTCCTCCTAAACCTTAGCAAGAAATACTCGTTCCTTCTCCTTTAAGGTTGTCGTAAAATTACTCGTGATTGATTTCTAGAGAATATACGAAATCATAAAAAGGTGAAGCTAACACCCCACCGATTTCGAGTACTTTTTTATGGATACTTAGGCTCGCGTGGATCATCAATAGAGGTTAGACACCTGGATGAATTTTCTAAAAAGAATTTAGATCTCGCACTACAAGAGATAATCCTTTACCTAAATCTTATTATTCAAGTATGTATGGTTAATAGGTTTAGCTACTTGATTTGGGGGCCTTAGATGGAGAAATTTATTTATTTATTTCACACCTCTATAGGATGCATAATCCTTCAATTAGTATTAAAGCCTTCGTTGAATCTTTGATTGTATGATTGGTTAATCGTGATTAACTACATGAATTAAATATGTCTAATTATAAATCTTATGTTTTTGGTGTTTTATATAAATATAAAACTAAAATTTTGGGCTAAAATCGGTAAGAGCACGCGAGGTTGATGTTGGAAGTCAACACTTACGTGCGTAAAAGTCCTATTGCTAGCGGCACGCTAGGCACACGAAGGCGGGTACGCTAACGCGTGGCGGGCAAGCCGCTAGCTCGCCGGGCCTTGTGATAGGCATGTAGGCCGGGCAACATATACTTGCGTGCGTGTGCGCCGAGCACCTGCATGCCAAGCTCGCTAGCTTGCCATCCTGCGCGCTAGGCGCATGGGCAACATAGTAAGCCA